CCGGGTTTCTCCCCTTCGCAGCCAACTTCCAGAAAAACTTCAGCATGCCCCCTTTTCCTTGATGCTTGCAAATTGATTCGCTGGCCGGTGCGCCAGCCAACATCGTCAAAAAGGCCCGTCGCCGCCACGTGGAGCTGCGAAAAAGGGCCCCTGCCCACAGCGGGCGGGGCGGCAGCGGTGGAGCGTGAGGCATATGCTTCCGCCACGCAGGGCAAACGCCGCAGCGCGTCATACCCCTCCACCCCCAAAAAAAAAAAAAACGCTCGCAGATCTGACCCAATGAGTGGGTTCCGGCCCGCCACGTCGCGCCCTGTGGGCTGGCTGCCCGTCGCGGGCCATGCGGTGGCAACTGGGCCCACGCCTGGCGCCACGCTCGAAACCGCATGCTGAACATCAGAGATCGACAAGTGGTGCCCCCGTTAGACGCCGCCGCGGGGCGGGGCGCGCCTTTTCTCTGCGGACGTGCCCTTTGCCCCCCACCGAAACCGCGGCAACGGGGCCCCAATGAGTCGGCGCGCGCCAACCGCCTCCCACTCAACGCGAGCTCTTCCCTGCCGCCAGCCACTCCTTCCGCAGAGGGGAGATCCACCTTTTGGGGGCAGGGAGTTGCCTCAGAAAGCTTCACCCAAACCCTTTTGCGCCCAAAGTTTGGCTCCACAAGAGCGCTCCATCACTGCGTTTGGGCGCCGTGTCTCTCCTGCTGCCTCTTGCGCTCTTGCCGCAAAGGGGGTGGCGGGCCCCCCAAACCGCCGGCCAGCGCATCGCAACGGGAGCGCCCCGCCCTTCGCATCGGGCCATGCATTTCTTCCCTGGCCCACGGCGTGCTCGTGCACGGGCGGAGGCCCCTTCCTCGCCGAAACCCCGCAGCCGCAGCGCCCAGCTTGCAACGGCGAGTCTCCTCCCTGATCCTCGTTCTCGCGGGGCCCAGTCCGGAAAGGCGGGCGGACGACGCCCAACAAAAGGCCGCCGGAAAACGACTTTGGTTGGGAAGGTGCAGAAGCCGGCCGGTGTGCGGTCTCCGTCCCGGGCTCGCCGAAGGGCGCCTCGCAGTCGCCCGCATCCGCGCGAAGGCCCCGCTCAAAACAGGGCCAATGCGGCTTCTTCCTCTCGTGCGAGGCGGGTGGAAGCCATGCGCACGGCCGCCCATTCGTCCGTTGTGGTGGGGCGGTGCGCAGCTGACTGGGCCGCCGTGACCACGCGACCGCGCCGGCACTCCGAGGACCCGCGGGCTCTGCAAAGCCGTGGCCTCAATAGCCGCAGCCGCGCTCCTCCTCGCCGCCGCAGGAGGGGCAACACGGCCCAGCGTCGGCAAAGCGCCAGAGCGGGCACTGCGAGAGGACCTTTGCGCAGGGCGGTGAAGAGGCAGAGGGCGCCTGCGACAATTCAGACCCCGCGCGGTGTGGAATGCGTTGGCGGGGTAGCGCCGCATGGCTCCTTGAGGCTGAGGTGTGCCGAGGTGTGCTTGCCGCTCCGCAGCCCCGCACCGGCAGGAACACGCCCCATGGGAATGCCGCAACTATTGCACACGCCTCAAGTTGCACAGAGGCAAGTGTGGAGCAAGACGCCGGGGAGGCGCCCCAATGCCCTCCGTGGCCAGCGCCCAAAGGCAGGGCAGAACCCGCGCAGGGCGCCTCACGCCCGCCCACATGCGCACAGCGAAACCGCGGCACACCGAATTGAGCGGCGCCTCGCCACCAGATGCAGGCGGACAGCACGGGCACTGCTCGTGCCACGGCAGTTTCGCCGCGTGGTAGCCAAAAAAGTGGGAAAAAGCGCCATAGAAATTGCGGCGCCCACAGAAGAGCTGCTCAGCGACGACGAGCCCCCGCTGCAAACCCCTCGCGCGAAGGCCTACGAAGAGGGCGCCGCGGCCGCAGCGCACCCCGGCGTCCCTGGCATTTGCGGAGCACCGCCAACCCGCGCACGCCGCCGCCAAAAATCAACGGCCACCATCGGCTGACGCAACGGCGTTGGCGCGCCCAAAAACTAAAACAAAAAGCCGTGCATCCAGGCACAACTCCGCGGCGGAAACCGGATGGGCGCGGCGCCGACTGCTGCTCCAACCGCCAATGACCACCTGCACCAAGATGCACCCCAACACCTTCGCCGACACCCACCAACCGCTGCAAAAAAAAAAAAAGAACGAAGCAAAAGGCAAAAAAGCAGCGTGGACCACCGCACACGAAAAAGCGGCGCCGTAAGCACAAAAAAAGAAGCGTCCGCCACACAACTCAGCGCACACACCGCAACAAAGCTCAACACAACAAAACAAAATAAAACATTCTCGTGAAGCCCTGAGCTCTCACCCCGCACGTGAACAAAAAACGGGAGAAAACAAACGCCTCGGCCCATTGAACAAACCCTCCCAATTAAAAAAAATAGTGAGTTCAGAACGCACAAGAAAAAATAATAATACATCATGTCGTTTTACGAGGGCCGGGACCGTTGGGACCTCGCGAAGTGGCAGCCCGCAGGACCCGCTACCGCCGCACACCTCCGCGTGCGGGGCGGCGAAGCTGCACTCGCCACCGCCCAACGCGGCCTCGCAGGAAACGCATCAGTTAATGCGCGCAGGAAACAGCATATACAAACAAATCGTCCACTCATCTCTTTAGCCTCCTCTGGGAGCATCCCCCCCACCCCCCAACGGGCATCCCAACAGACAAACAAATATATCGCGAAGGAGCAGCGCAAAACGGGTCCGCCCTCAAATTAATTTATTTAAAAGGCGGGAGGCACGAGGGCCGGCCCACACACGCAGCAGCAGCACGCCGCACCGCT